CAGTTAAAATAAATGTTTATCAAGTAAAGTTTAATGTTACAACCAATCGTGGATCCCATTAAGTATTTCTGATTTATAGTTTTCATGATTCTGGACCCATATTCAGAAATGTAGGTCACAGTTTATCCTGTTAATCATCGACTGATGGCCCGCAGGTAACTCATAGTTCATCTCCACTTCAGTTACTAAACAATCTAGACAAACTCTAGTCGAGATTAAATTAATTTTACACAAACTTGTGCTGAYGTTTGGAAAATTTTGTCCCACATGCTAAGCATAAGTTCAGTGTAAGTTACACTACTGTTGTGGATACGCTCTGCATAAGTCAACAACAGGTTATTTACTTGTATAAGTTATGTATTGGCTAGAGACAGGTTATGGATAAGTTACTGATTACAGTAGTGAATGCCAGCATGTTGGACAAACGTTTCATGCGTTAAAAACACTACAGTGTGACAGAGTCTTYAGACTGGTGACGAACTCAGGCAATAGTTCCCAGTCTCTCCAGTCTCAYCTGCTGAAGYTTGGAACTCCACAGGTGTTTTGGTGGTCGCTCTCACTGTTCTCCTTGCATGGTCACTCAGTTTGTGAGGACGACCTGCTCTTAGTAAATTTACACATTTCCCATTTTCCTTCCATTTCTTGATGGATTTACAAAACTCTCAGGAATGTTTAGGGACTTGGACATCCTTTTTGTATCTCTCTATTCATACTTTTCCATAATCTTTTCTCTGAGTTGAATGAGAACAGTATTTTTAAAGGTGGCTAATATTTATGCAATCACTTGCATTACATTTTTTTTATTTAATTGGTATTACTCTGTAGAAATTTAATTTCACTTTGACATTAAATAAATTTTTTTATTCGTTTGTAAAGAATGTTGATTTCTATTGACCAACATTGATTTATGAAATCAATGATAGCATAAAACATCCAAGAGGGTGATAACTTTTTATAGGCACTGTGTTTTTAGTAAAACTCTAAGGACCCTAGACCATGAAAGAAATCATGTTAAACGCTTATCTCTTGGCCAATAACTTTACAATTTGTTTTGATTGTTTTTATTTCACATTTGCGATACATTTAACATCAAATTATTGCAGTGGTTCTTAACCTGGGTTCAATCCGGTCTCGGGGGTTCGGCGGAGCCTCTGCCGCAGAGGTAAAGACACACTTGTGTAAAGTCGTGATGACATGCCCCGCTTGGACATCAGTTGCTGCAGAGGATCACGTGAGMTTGGTTGGCCAATCAGTGCTGGCCCCAAAAAAGTATTTTGTGGATTCAAAATGACAAAAAACAAATTAACTTTAAAATTAAAAGAAGTTATTAAAAATGTTAAAGTCTTCAAAAAAATCCTAATTTATTTTTTATTAGTAAAATAGTAAAAAGTATATTTTGGGGGGGCTGAAATTTTTTATGGGGCCAGAATAAAGTCATACTGTAATTTGTTGTGAGTTCGTGCACTGTGTTGGTTTTGTTCTTTGAGCAAGGTGATGTTCATGCACGGCTCATTTTATACACCAGTAAAAAAACATACACCTATATCTTGAATTTGGGAAATAAAATCATATTTTTTTCATCATTAAAAAGGGTTCAGTGAATGCACCTACGAAACTGGTGGGTTTGGTATCTCAAAAACGATTAAGAACCACTGTTGTAAAGTARCTCACATAAAATACCAACCAAAACTTTACATAAAAAATGAAAACAAGGCAATTATATTTTTGTCTAAACAAGAAAGTATGGGAAATACCACTTGTGTGTGAAGACATCAAAACACACTAAATAAAGAAAACTGAAAAACTAATTGTAGATTTTTTAAAAACAGCTTTTGATATAAAGCAAAATGCCTTTGTGCTACTCATTATTTGTGCATCAAATAAAATACCACCTCGTTAATTCACARCAAATGCTGTGTATAAAACCTTGTGCTAAAATACGTCTGATAATGGAAAAGTAACTTCTTAAAAAATTGTGATAAATTAAATAATGATGATTTCATTTTATTATCAATAATAATAATAATATAAATCTTTTTTCAACCTCAAGGGCTGGCTCCCAAAGTCTGCTCAGAAGAATTCTGGCCGATGGTTTATTTTTTTATTACAACAGTTTAAACGTCATGTCCAAACCTCAATAATACTGTCAAATGAACTCGGTGTTACCATTTCTTGGAGTTGTTTTAAGTTTAGAACTTGGGTTGCATCTAAACAACAAATGAGCTGCTTCATTATTAGAAATGTTTTTTAAAGCAGAATCATGAAGTAACTTCTTAAATAGTGCACGGCTCGTTTGTTCTAATTCTCACCGACGTACAGGTGAAGTTKAGTCTTTTCACACATTGCCAAGAGATGCAAAAGTAGTTCTGAAAGCCAAGTTAGAAGTGGATTTAAGACCGTGAAATGAAAAAGAAAAAAAAAAAACAGATCTAGTAATGAAGTCGGTCTTGTGATCGTCTGCCGGTCCGTTCAGTGCCARCAGATACTTAAACAAAACAACATGTTGAGCCTGTGCCAGCGAGCTATATTATTATCTTCATTCCAACTAATTGCCCGGCCAAACAACGACACGTACGCACACACAAGCTTCAACAACCACTCATCATTAGGGACTTTAAGTGTGTCGTGCCATCGCTGTTGTCATGACTACGAGGCGCTGAATTTTGGCTTGGGAGTTGTCACAAAATGTAAGAGTGATTAGCTTTTTTTCAGGGATTCAAAGAGAAAAATATCATTAGGTTTGTTTAGTTAAACATCAAGGATAATATTTTCTTAAAATTTCTTCCTTGACATAAATGAATACCTTGTTGTACTTTACAAGTTGGCCTGACGTTTCTGATTAAGGGTCATTTTCATTAAACGTGTGTGTCTTCTGAAACGAGCTATTAGTGCGAGCGGTGCAACACTCACAGAGTTGCAGACAAGCATCTCAGTGGTTTTATCCTCACCCCGCTGGCCCTCCAGATCCCCTGTAGGTCTTTTTTSTCTTTAAGACGGCTGTGGTTGTGTCCGAGAGAGAAGCTGAGCTATGAGCGTGAGCCTGTTTGTGTCTATGTATGCCGTCAGCTAGCAGGAATGCACGGGTACCGCCAAAGCTAAGATGGCTGCCAAGCTCTAAGATGGCTGCCAGGATTCCACAGAGCGTCAGCGCGACAAAGAATCAGAGACAGTGGGAGAGACAGTGAGGCAGGGGGAAACCTGGAGTTGGACTCCCTTGGAACGAGGTCCGGGGGTTTCGAGGACAAAAAAAGAAAGTCCATCCTCGTATATATTCACCCTTTTCTATTTGGCCGATGAACGATGAGGTGATTTCTTGTCTCCTTTTGTTTTCCTGGTCTTGGCAGCGGGCAGACGGGGTGAATAGTGCAGCGGTTTGCTGGCACGTAGTTCACTTCTGCCACCCAAGATTAGTGCTCTGATTGGGGCTGAGAAGATGTTGCGATAGACGGGCCTAGTGCTGGCTGAAAGGGAGGCCACGTTCTGGTAAGACGTGTTGGCCCGAGGCACTCTTTAAACTCAAGCTCTGTAGGGTAATTGGCCTAAACAGTATATATGATACAACCATAAAACTCTACAGGGCTGTATTACACATCTKAAGAGGAATGGCAGCCAGTGGGCCAAGCAAAACCGGCTGATCATGTATGCCTGCCTGCCCCTATAGACGTCAAGGCAATTTTACACAGGAGGTGCAATCTAAACGAAGCCTAGAACATAAAAATGTGACCTTTACAAGTCAGCAGCGGAAAACCAGAGGTTTCATGGGAGGTTTTTAGTCAGTGAACACCATCTGAGGCCTTTTTTTTTTTGTGGCACAGCCATAAAAAATAAAAAGAAGTTTATTCATCATACTTTTAATCTTTTAGATTTAGCTCATTTAGATATATTTCTGGGAATGCTACAAATGTAAAGCAGAGAACAAAAACATTGTTTTTCTGAGTTAAACTTATTAGAGAGGTAATCTGAACAATATACTGACTGTAACAAGTACAATAGGTCTCGAATGTTGGGGTGGTTAGGTTTGGGGTAACGGGTCAGAGTTAGGCTGTAGAAATTACTAAAAAATGAATGGAAGTCMATGCAAAGTCCCCACGTGGATAGAAACACCAACTTGTGTGTGTGAGTATCTGTGTGTTAATGCTTGTATATGTCTAGGAAAAATCATTCTAATTAAGTCTTGTAAATGCACCCATGAACGTGAATGTGAGCATAAAATCCAGTCTATCCCAGCTGTTTTTTCAGCGGTGCTGAGGTTTCTGTGGAAAGATTTTGAAGAATCSATATCTTCCCTGTAGATATCCTTTTGAACAGCCTCAATCAGGAGAAAACCATTTTAGGTCCAACAAGACTGGATGAGCTGATGGTCCGTCCAAGCGCAGTCAAAATCAAAGTGAATCGCTGTGATCTGGAAAGAAACCCAGTCTGAAAAAATGTCATTCTGATTCGTGCAAACAYTGTTTGAATTTTTGCACTGCTGTCAGTTTTGCACGAAACTGTTATTCAGAGTCTGTGGTTATTTACAGGAACAACAATCAGTAGCATTTGCTTGGATAGGACTTTTTAAAAGGGTTAGGGTTCCTGAATCTCATCCTGTTGGTCCATTTGTTTGACACAGAAACAGCAGTTTGGTGTTTTTTTTTACAAAATTTTACAATGTTTAACAAAACTTTGGGTGTTCTGAAATTCAACTAGATTATTGGTTATTACCTTTAAATGCTGCAGCTTGTTAATGCGCCTGTTCCTGGGTTGCTTTCAGACAAGTTGCACTTTGTTAATGAAATTCTGTTTAAAGKTTGACGTTGATCAGCAAACTGCTTTTTTTCTAAAATATGTAAGCTCTCACGGAGAGCAAAAAGAGATTATGTGATATAAACACACTGCTGGCTTTAACAGCGACACAAATGAACAAATAATCTGAATGCTTATCACCCACAGCCTTCCATGTCAACATTTTAAACAAAGATCTCAYGCTCACAAAAGTTTTTTTGTTGTTGTTTTTTTAGAACAATCCGGACAATCAGACAACTCAAACCAGCAAGGAGACACAGACGTCAAACCCCCACCAAATGGTAAGTTTACATTTCTGTCCTCATGCACTTATTCACACTCATGCACACCTGCATATGCGYGCATAATTCACCGACACGCTGTCACATGTAGGTGGTAAAAGGCGCACACGTGCACACAGAGGCCTCTCTGTGCGTGTTAGTGTGTTCAGGCAGATTTGAGGCTACATTTATTATGCTAAGGAGAGTTGATGGTACTGTAGCGTGGGGGCTGCGCTTGGCTTGTGGCGGGCCACTCATAAATCACACTGACGTTATTGGAAGATGGGAACCACATGGCCGCTGCCGAGCTGAGCGCTGACCTCATGCGCTGTCCCTGCTGCGGTTAACCCCGGATCGGGTAYGGAGGAGAACGGAGCGAGATGGCGAGAATGGGAGGAAAATGGGGGGAACTCAAAAGATAATGAGGGGGTGAAGAGAAGAGAAGGGGGACGGAGAGGATGATGGACAGCAGGRGTGAAGGATGAAATAAAAAGAGGGGCGTTTGGAAGAAGGGTGTGGATTTTAAATCGACTCAGCCTGGAAGCCTCGGTTCTTTATACGCACTGAGTAGGCTAACTTTATAGTTTTATTTTATGTAATGCTCCTTTTTCCATCCAATGAATATCAGTTATGTACATTTAATAAAGTTGCAGTCTACAGTCATAAGACAAAGAAAGTCTACTCTTTCAGCTCTAAGGTTTGATATGTTTAATGTGTGTTAACCACAGCAATGATCTTAGAGAATCTATTACCTCTTCCCATCAATCTGTTATCAGATGATTTCCAAACTATTTTGAATCCATTATTGTACATGGAGAAAAATTATTTGCAACATGATAGCTACCAATCATTACAGGAGTGCGCTTCCAGCAAATTTACCCCAAGATCAGACTGTGTAATGATCATGGAAATGCAAAAAAAGTTAATGTTTATGTCAGGAAATTAAGAAAAAGACTCAACCACTATGGGTTGTTTGGAAGAGTTGCAGGTGAAAACTTCTTTTTTTTWWAAAAAAAATCTGTTGTGTTTTTGTGGACTTGATGGTAGATTGGAGTCACTTTAGAATCTAGTAAAGACCAGACTTTTTGAGTTATGTCCTGAAACCTAAAACCCTAGAAGTGAAAAAGGGTGGTCTTTCTTTATCCCATGGCTGTATCACATTAAGACTTTATCTTCACCAGGAGGCCCATTTCAAAAGAACTGAACTTTTTTTTACCTAGTTCTTTACTGTTTAGATGCAAGAGCTCAAGTAAGTGTAAAATTCAAGCCAGATTTAAGTAAAAGATAAAGATAATTGTTAGATTAAATAATAATGTAGACACATTATTATTTAATCTATTGTCTATTGTACTTCAAAATGCTAACTCATTCATATTTTCAAGTTTCTTCTCAATATGGTAAAAAAATTAATGTGATTAGAAGTTCACTGCCAAAACACGTGTCTTCTTTCTGCTGTATACATGCTTTTTATCTTGATATAGCATTTGTTATATGTTGTTTCTTTTGTGATCGTATGCTGTGTTCATAAAGATCTCAGTACACCATGAATCATAATATGTAATATAGCTGTCTGTTTGGAGATTATCTTCACTTGTTGGGTCTGATTGGTTGTGTATGTTTGATGTCAACATTCAACAAATTTGGAACGTCCAAAAAACCAAAGGCGTGTTGTATGTTATAGAAAACACATGGCCCCACTGGATTACCCTGCCAAACGYTTCCATACGTCTGCTTTTCAGCTCTGTCTCCGTGTCTTTATGTTCTTTCATATGTTTGGAAAATTTTWTCCATGTTTGGGGACATGAAACTACCGTGCGGTCCGTTCTAACGAGGTCTCCTCTCCCTTGTCTTTTTACTCAGGCCACTTGAGTTTCCAGGACTGCTTCGTGACTTCAGGGGTGTGGAACGTAGCYGAGCTGGTCCGTGTGTCACAGAGTGAGTGGTTGCTGTGATCTCTGATGACAGTCAATGTCATTTTTATTGCATATGGTTAATTTAAAACAGGTAAATGGTAAGTGGTCCTCTCAAACACCAACAGATAAATGGAGTTCCCAAATCAGTGTTAAAGTTCCATAAAATATACGGTTGTTAAAGCTAGTTAATCATTTATATCTCATAATAACATGCATTGTGGGGTAATAGCTTTCTAATATAAAACGTACACAAAACCTGAACTGRAGAACCAACTTTTGGCTRGTTTGTAAAGGCTGAAAACTGCAARCAAAACCAAAGTGTCTTGATTATGAGTGTGCTGCTTACTCAAAGCCACGGTGCCTCAGAAAAATCTATGTGGCATCCGTCTATCAATGTCATGAAAACCTATGTGTTTATAGAGTGTGTCGATCACTGCCTTAGAGATAACTACAGTAACAGTTGTGATTGCTGCTACTCTCAGGAAAGAGTTTTAGATTACAAGACTGTCTGAACCATGGAAGACCTTTTTATTACCTTATTATTACCTTTCTTATGACAGTCTCTGAGATCCTTAATTATGAAGTAAAATATGCACAACATTATTGGTGAGCCAGCCAGGAGCTAAACCTAAAACAGGTCAATATAACTGGGTTATTTTTTTGAGAAAATTGTGGTGTAACCACAGTGATACCTCATCATGGTTACAAGAATTTATTTTCACAAAAAGACTGATATAAATAAAAAAAATATTAAAGGTAATGTAACCATTGTCTGTCATGYTGGTTCTTTAGAAAATACTGATTCATAGACTGAGTTTCTGGTTAGACTTGGAAACTAAATCTATTAAACTAGAAATGCAAAAATAAAATGAATAAACTACACATAAAGAATTCAAGTAAACAAATCTCAGAAACACAACATTTATGCAAATAAAGATGTATAAAAAGTAAAAGTGGCCAGCTTTAGCTAAGCGTGCTTGTATACATTGTTGTTGTCAGATTAGTTTTTGTTTCATCTGAGAGTTAAAAAATGAACATTACTGAAGAGTTTTATTGCTGTTGGTAAAGTGTTCATAATCTGATGGGCTCTAAACTAACAGGGAAACTATCCAAATTATGTTTTTGTACATGACTGGTTTGCAGTCTTCAAATAACTGGAGTTTCTGTTTTTTTCCAACCCCTGGTAAAAAGATGGCTTTTACCATCTTTTTACTCACTGCCACTGGAACAATGACATGTAAAAGTTAATTTTCTGAAATTGAAATGTAGGAAACTGTCAACAATATATGGCATTTTCAAACCACAGTGGTCGTTTTTAGCCCCTACTGTACAAGAAACACTTTCTTGGCTCAACAGGACTCTTGAAGGAGAACATAACRTACACAAACACTTATTGATTGGCTGAGCTAATGAAATGATCTCCCAGTACCCACACTGTGTAAAATTATTGTATATTTACATTGCTAAAGTAGAAGCTGCCTCACTGTCGTTGTTTGCTACTAAGTAAAGTGTGAAAAAATGCTACAAACGTCCAGATGGAAGAGTTATGGGAGCCAAAACTGATAAGACAGATCAGTGTATTTTATGGTACAACAACACACAGCATACAACTCCAACTACTGTGTCCTTCATTGTGGTTAGTGGTGAATGTCACACGCTTAAGTTCTTCAGGTGGTGTGAAAGCTAATATAGATCCTTATAAACACTTTGTAGTGGGACTAACAGGTCAGAGAGTCCTTAGAACTGTTCAGTGAGAGCTGTTGTATATAGTGTGTTTAGAGTTACCTAAATTTGTCAAATGGTAACAAAAACATGGATTTTGGTAATAAATTACCACTAAAACCACAACACAATAATGTTCATAAATGTCAACTAGAAAATTAGCATTTCCAGCCTAAATGCAGTCTGAATGCTTAATGCTGAAAGATTTTTGCTGACTAGCTAAAGAAGCTGAAACTATTCCAAAAATAGCTTTAAAAAAGTTGCTGAAATAGCTGCAATTAGCACAAGGAAACAAGAAGGTCATGCCTGCTTATTTAAGCTGTAAGAAGCTGAATTTATCTCAAAATGGTGAATTTCAATTAAAGAAGCTATAATTAGCTAAAAAGTACCTAAATACAAAAAAACATCTGAAATTATCAGAAAGCTGCTGAAAGAAGCATAAAAAGCTTGAATTAGCTGAAAGGTCATTCTGATCTGCAAAAGAATAGCAGGTAAAACAGCAGAAAAAAGCTAAAATTAAGCAAAATAGAAGCTGAATGACGCTGAAGTTACAAATGAGTAAAAAGGCAGAACTACAACAAAAGGTAAAAGTACAGTGAAGATTTCTAAAGATTTTGAAGGATTTTATGGATGTTGAAGTCAGCTTAATTCAGCTTCAATGAGAACAACATGGCACAAAAAGCTAAATATCTCAAAACGTATAAATTGATGAAAAGCCAAAAGTCAGAGCCGGAATGTCCTGAAGGATCTGAACGTTTTGATATACACTACTCACAAAAAGTTAGGGATGTTTGGCTTTCAGTTGAATTTTATGGAAAATGTAAAAAGTTGACGCTACAGTGATRTCATATCATGAAAGTAGGACATTTAAGTAAAAGAATGCACTGGTGATTTCCTCATCTCAAACAATTTATTGAAACAAAAGTTAACAACAATGGTGGGTACACCACAACAAAAAATTTYGAYATCTCAATAACYCATCATGTGCCCTTGAGCATCAATTACAGCTTGACAACGACGTCTCATGCTGTTCACAAGTCGACCTATTGTCTGCTGGGGCATRGCATCCCACTCTTCTTGAAGGGCAGCCCTCAGGTCTTTGAGGTTCTGGGGTGCAGAGTTTCGAGCCTCTACAAGGCGACTCAGCTGATCCCACAGGTTTTTAATGGGATTCAGGTTTGGAGAAAGTACAGGCCACTCCATTTGAGGTACACCAGTCTCCAACAGCCGTACACTGATGATGCGACCTTGATGAGCTGGAGCATTGTCGTCCATGAAGATGAAATCAGGCCTGTTTTGTTCATGTAGGGGCACAATCACTGGATTAATGATGTTATTCAGGTAGTATGGGCTTGTCGCTGTACCATTCACAAAGTGTAGGGCAGTTCTGTACCAACTGGACACACCTGCCCACACTGTAACACTGCCACCACCAAAAGCTCRTCTGGTGATAACAGTGGCTGATGCATAKYGCTCTCCTTGACRTCTCCAACATCGCTGGTGCCCATCATTTYTGCTCAGCGTGAATCGGCTTTCATCAGAGAATAGCACTGAGGCCCACTGGTCCTTCGTCCWGTGTAAATGCTCMCTGGCCCATGCAAGATGATTTCGCCTGTGCCTGGTGGTGTGGTCAGGTACCTTTGCAGGTCGTCTAGCATGCAGACCACGCTGATGTAACCGGTTTCGAATGGTCTGACGTGACACTTGGGTGCCTCTCACCTCCCTTAACWGTGCCTGGAGTTGAGTGGCATTCATCATCTGGTTTCTCAGGGCATTGTTCACAATGTAGCGGTCATCAGCATGGGATGTGGCYRAAGGACGTCCACTTCTTCACCTTTCTGTGACTCTTTCAGTCTCTCGGTATCTCTGTTGCAACCTGCTGATGACACTCTGTGACACTCTAAGCTCAGTGGCCACGTCCGTCTGAGAACATCCTGTTTGAAGCATCTGAACGGCAAGGTACTGTTGATCCATTGTTAGGTGTCGTATTGGTCTCATGATGTCAAAATGTGAACAGCATGATGGGGACGACTGTTTAAACACCAGCTCTAATTGAACCAGGACATTTATTGGTCGATTCAAGGATCAAACATCTGTTGTGAATTTTTCCATTAAGCTCCTCGTTAGAAAACAGCAACTTGTGCAAAAAGAACTGAAACATTTAACAGTTGGATACATGCATTCAAATGCTTAGAGAAGGTCACATTAAGTTCACCTGTAAAGGTTTAAATGCATTTTAGGCTCGTCCTGAAATTTCACCCAAAAGCCAAATATCCTTAACTTTTTGTGAGTAGAGTTGAAATAGCTCAGAAATAGCMCAAAAAAYACATGTCACAAAATGTAGAAGAACAAAATTATGTCATTAGTGTGAATTATAATGTGAATGCTATCATTCACACAATAAACACCAGAATATGTGTGTGATGGGTCTTRTTGTTCCTCAGCCCCCGTGGCCACAGCAACCGGCCCAAACTTCTCCCTGGCAGACCTGGACAGTCCTGGTTATTACAACATCAACCAGGTGGCCCTGGGACGGCGTTCCATCACCTCCACCCCCTCCACCAGGTACACTCCTGTTGGTTGTTTACATTCAGTACTAATATTCTTCCCTTCTTAACCCTTTTTAATATGCTCTTAATGCTTCGCTTGCTTTCCTTTCTGATTGTGCTCTTTCTTCCATTTTTTCCCCTCCTTCGTCATCGCTAATCCTTCTCATTGCCTCTTAATTTCCCACCAATTTGTCCGCTGCCCTGCCTTGTCTTTGTGTCTCGTGTGTCTGTTTTTATCCCCGTCACTCCCTTCGTACTCCTCTCCTGCTCATCTTACGCTGCAGGACTGAAATGGAGCTTTATGCAAGTCTCCCACGAAGGTAGTTACACTCTTTGCAGAATATCTCCCTTTGCACTAATGCAACACAGACTCCTGCATCACACTCGAGTGAAAGCAGCACACGCACAGGCTGTACATTCGCATTCCACTTCATTTTATTGGTTACAGCTGCATGGATCCATAAGAATCTGCAAACGTACACAACATTGAGGCTCAGGATTTCCCAGTGCTCTGGTTCTAGCATGAGGCCGCTTTGGGCCACGGTAACACAGCACAGTGTTAAAATTGTAGCCTTATGCTTGTGCTGCTCTGTCCCCTCTGGCTGTAATATAATATTAAAGAAAAACACTAAACAGAAACCTTGACATTATGAGTTTTTATTAGTCTTGATTTTTACGCAGACTCACGCCTGACTCCAGGGGATATACAAACCCACATCAGTCCTCAAATGTCCCATGAATGATTTTTCTACATTTATTAAAATCTCAAATACTGAAGTTCACAACCCAAAAAAAGGGATCAGATTTGTTTTTACATGATGTACATGATGTCATTGCTTAACTCCTTCCTCTTCCTTTCTACAAGAACTTAAATAAAGAGTCTTTTCCTTATTTTCTTTCCCTCTCTCAGCTCCAACAAGCGCAAGTCCAATGACGACAGTGAGATGGAGAGTCCGGTGGAAGAAGTGTTTTACTGCCGCTCACCTGCAGCAGGCAGCAGCTCTCAGTCCAGTGGGTGGCCCAATGATGTGGATGCAGGTACTCTCACCGCAGATGTCCCATTAAACTCTGCCTCTCCAGGAGCTGCGCTGACGTCTTCATTAAATCAGATGCAACAATTAAACCGATTTACAGGTCATTTCAAAAGTAACGATAAAATATTCGTTTCTTTTAAGCACCTCTCAGATCATTTTTTACGGGATTTAACATAAAACCTTCACATGCAGATCCAAAGTTGTTTTTCATGGCTTGAAAAAAAAAAGTTTGACATTTCTGAAAATGTGCTTATTTGCTTTTTAGATTCTGTCCACATTACTCTGGGGTAATTTTTTTTTTGATCAAAGTATTTTTTTTATTATTCTTCAACATAATCCACAATAAAAAACAAACAACAAACGTACAAAAACACAAACACCC